AATTATAAACAAGCAACAGCAGGTACTGCAGGCAGGCTAACACTAGCTGGTCACCTCCTCCATCTCCTCACCCTCCTCCTTCCCCTCCCCCACACTGCTGCAGGAGCAGCAGAGAGGGGGGGAAGAGAGGAGAGGTGGAGGGACGGCTGCTGGTTGCCTCACACCCGCCACCCCGGTGCCACTCCCCTTGCTCCCCCACACCCTCACACCCTCCCCCCCAGCGGCAGCTGCAGCAGTGGGAACGAAAGGAGGAGGAGGGGAAGGGAAGTATACGACCCAACACTCCAACACCCGCCACCCCCATACCCTCCCCCCCACGGCTGCAGGGAGACAAAGGAGGAGGGGGGTGGGCGGGAAGAAAGCCGCAGACCAGCTACAATGTGTCGGCGCAGGTAGGTCAGGGGCGGCTGCAGGGAGAGCAGGTGCGGAGAGGCCCGTCGCGTGCCACGGGGCGCACGACGGGCAAGTTTAAGGTAAGGGCACCGTCGTGTGCCTCGGGGCGCACAACGAGCAGGGCACTGTCGCGTGCCACGGGGCGCACGACGGGCAGGTTTAGGGCACCGTCGCGTGCCACGGGGCACACGACGGGCAGAAAAGGAGTCACTCGCCAACCGAGGGCGGGACAATACGAAAATCGCCATGCGCCCAAGGCGCGCGACCGAAAAGATAGCAGCGGAAGCATTAGGCGGGCCCACAGGCCAGGACAAAACTTGCTCTGAATCCATGTGATAAAAGAACGAGGATGTACTAAGTTTAACTAGGGCCTAGGCTTAGGAGCCTAGGCCCAACTAGTATGTCGAGTAGGTTGTGCCAAGGGTGAGAGTCGAGAAAGTTGGGAAGAATGTTTTCACTATAGGTTTCGTAGAACATATAGCAAAGGAAACAAAGAAGGTGCACCACCAAACAAAGTTTATAATAACTACACTAACTACAGCTACAGGCAGTTACAAATATAAGTTCTGACAAGGCATGGAGTTGCAAGGCGAGACCTTCATTCAAGAAATCAAAACACTCCGCACCGAGCAGAACCAGACGCAGGCGCTTCAACAAATCAAAGCAATGCTCGTAAACAAGTCGGCAACAGCCACAGCAGCATCGAACGCAACAGCGAATTCAAAAGCGACAGCAGCAACAACAGTAGCGCCGACACCGACATATCACACTGCAAAAGCGGCACCCTCTATAGTGAATCTCGAATCTGCTTATCTAAGGCCACCGAAGGCGCTTGATGCGAGCGCGAAAGGCACGGACGTCAGGAGATTCATCGCGACACTCGAAATTGTCAAACTTATATGTTGTGTAGGCTGCAGTGGGGTAGCCCATATAGGGTACAACCCAATTGGGGTTAGTACTTTTGCCCATCTTGTTGTTAGTTCACTCATCCTCGTTCCTTAGTTTTGACATGGTTTCAGAGCAGGTCCTTGCATGGTTTCACTCATCCCCTGCTCTGCCCGCGCGCTGCTCGCTGTCATGCGCCCTGCCCTGCATGCGCGCCGCTCGCTGCCGCGCGCCCTGCCCTATCCACGCTGCCTGCCTTACCCACGCGCCCTTCGCGGCCGCGCGCCCTGCTCTGCCCGCGCGCCGCCTGCCCTGCCTGTGCGTCGCTTGCCACCGCGCCACCTGCTCTACTTGCGTGCCACTCACTGCGGCGCCGCCCTGCCCTACCTGCACGCCGCTGTGCTGGTCGCCGCCCTGCCTTGCCGTGACTGCGTGCTACCCTGCTGCTAGCACGCCCTGCCGCTCTGCGCTCTGCCACTCTCAGTGTCCTTTCGTTCGATGAAGAGGTCCGTCCGATACAGTTTGACGCGTGGCTAGATGACCTGCAGCTGTACTTAGTAAGCGATTCTAGGGACGATGTCTCACTGTTTGGCCTCACGTCTGGCGCCTCTCTCGCCCCTCCCAACACAGCTGAGAGTTCGACTCGCTCACAATGGCTTACCAGTGATGATGCTCCTCGCCTAGCCGTTCGCAACTACCTCCAGTTAGCCGAACGCCCTCACTTTGGCCAGCACATGACTGCTAGAGCCCTGTACGACGCTGTAGTCGCTCGCTACTCCTCCCTGGCCACTGTTGCTCTAGGCCGCCTCATACTGCCCTACCTGTTCCCCGAGCTGTCCATAGTCGCTGACCTCGTCTCTCACCTTCGCACTAGTGACACTCGCTACCGTGCCGCGCTTCCCAATGAGTTTCTAGCCAAGAACCTTCCTCCCATAAACATCACATTCTACTTCATCGTCACCTGCCTCCCTGAATTTCTTAGCGCAGTCAGGGACCTCCTTCTCGCCCTTGACCCCACCGCCTTCGCTGTCGACCTGCTCAAGAAGCACCTCCTTGCAGCTGCATAGTCGCTGTAGGCACTTCTCGTGGCACTCCTTGCAATCTCTTCTTTGAGGGGTGTTCCCCCCCCCCCCCCCCCCCTTGTCCCCTCAGTCGTTTCTGCTGCTGTTGTTGACTTCCTTTGTGCTGAGAAGGTCGGAGCTGCGTCTGCTCCTAGTGGGAGGCGCCGCAGCGGCAGGGGCAAGGGAGGTCAGGGTGGTGGGGGTGGCAGCGGTGGAGGCGGTGGTGGGGGCGGTGGAGGCGGTGGAGCTGGCGGTAGTGGCGGTGGGAGTGGTGGTGGGAGTGGAGGTGTTGGTGGCAGCGGTGGTGGCGGCGGTGGTGGTGGCAGTGGGGGTGGCAACGGCAGCAGTGGTGGCGGCAGTGGGAGTGGTGGCGGGAGTAGTGGTGGCGGCCGGGGTGGAGCTGTTCAGAGGGGCTGTTCTGGCGAGGGCCAGCGGCAGCACCAGCAACGTCCGAGTGAGACCCCTTCGTCCCTGCAGCTTCGTGGGTGGTTTGCTCAGCGTGGGACGTCTGGGGGTAGTGGTCGCTTCCCGTATGTCATTCGCACAGGTGCCCGCACTGGTCAGCATGCGGGAAGCTTCACCCCCAGTACCGCTGCTTCTCTTGTCTTGACGATGCCTTTCGCGAAGAGCTTCCCGACGTGGCTGAGCTCCTTAGGCAGGGTGTGGATATCTTTGCTCTTGATGATGATGCTATCCTTGCCGCCATGTATGCATTGACTGTTAGTGCTGAGGGTGACTGTAACCTTTGTGTGCCGCCTGACCCATGTATAGAGGCTGCTGCTCTATGTGCTAGTGAGTCTGCTCTCCTTGGTACTACACCTGCTGAGACCTTGCACACCTTCACGCTTGACTAAGGTGCTTCCCAATGCTTCTTTCTTGACAGCACCACAGTCACACCACTCCCAGCACCGGTTGCAGTCTCTCTGGCTGACCCCTCTCGGGGCCTAGTTCTTGCACGTTCCTCCACTATTCTCTCCTGTCTGGCGGTTCCGTCTGGCTCACTGTCAGGTCTTCACCTCCCCTCATTCTCTACAAAATTGGTGAGCAACGTAGTCCTTCAGGATGAGTGGGTTGATATCTTCACCTTTAGAGGACAGCGTGTGGCAATTTGTACGTGCTTCCGGACCGGCCGTCATCTGGCCACGTTCACCCGTCGGCCTAGGTCGAGTCTGTACACACTGACTATTGCGCCATCTCAGGTAGCTGCATCTGCGTTCGCATCAAGTCAGCTTTCAGCCCACTGCTCGTGTCGCCACCTGTCGCACCAGACTCTCCTTTGGCACCACCGTCTTGGTCACCCCTCCCTGCCACGTCTCCGTAGCATGCACTCCCGTCTCCTTGTCTCTGGTCTTCCCAGGGTTGAGACTGCCCTCTCGCGCTCGCTATGCCATCCTTGCGTCGAGGGGTGGTAGCGCGCCGCTCCTCACTCCTCGTTTCCTCCGACAGAGGCTCCCCTGCAGACTCTTCACACGAACGTGTGGGGCCCAGCCTGCGTCCGTGGAAAGAGCCGCGAACGATACTTTCTGCTGGTTGTTGACGACTACTCGCGTTACACCACGGTCTTCCCCTTGCGCAGCAAGGGGGAGGTCCCTGATGTTTTGATCCCTTGGATCCGCGCTGTCCGTCTCCAGCTCCGTGAGCGGTTCTTGATGGACCTTCCGGTCCTGTGTCTGCACTCTAACAGAGGTGGTGAGCTCGCCTTTGACCTCTTGCGGGACTTCTATCATGGGGAGGGCATCCGCCTGACGTTCACGCTTCTGGCATCTCTAGAGCAGAATGGGGTTGCTGAGCGCCGCATTGGCTTACTCATGTAGGTCGCTTGCACCTCCATGATCCATTCGGTTGCCCCCCATTTTCTGTGTCCGTTTGCGGTCCAGTACGCTGCGCATCAGCTCAACCTCTGGCCCCGTGTCTCCTTGCCAGAGACCTCGCCGACACTGCGTTGGACGGGAGAGGTTGGCGATTCCTCGGTGTTCTGTATCGGGAGATCTCGTGCCTTTGTCCGCGATACCTCCGCAGACAAGCTCTCCTCCCACTCCATTCCCTGTGTCTTCCTTAGCTTTCCTCCTGATGCGTCTGGCTGGCAGTTTTACCACCCCACCTTGCGCCGTGTCCTGCCGTCTCAGGACGTCATGTTTGACGAGTTGGTTCCCATTTACTGTCTCTTCCCTTACCGCACTGCCCCTCTCTGCCCCGCTCTTCCTCGCACCAGGTCCTCCTCCGGTAGACCCCCTCCCCCCTCAGGGTCCTGCTCCTTCAGGGGAGGGGGCACCTGGGATTGGTCCAGGAGCAGCGAAATTCAGCACGAGAGGAAGGGCCATTCGCACGAAACCAGAACACTGTACAAACAACACCAAACCACACGCCCTAACCTGGGCACACCCCAACCTGGTACAACACTGCTTCGTGAGCCAAAACACACCCTGCGACCCACCCATGCGACAAACATAACCCCCCCCCCGCACATCCTCATCCACACCAACGTGGGCGACGGGAATCACTTCTGATTACTAAATTAGCACCAGTCACACCTCCCCAATACTACAATCATTACCACAGACACCCGCCCCAGCCACTATCGTCATTAGAGTACTACACCTCCCGAATACAGCTCTATCGCACGTATAAAAGCTCGACGGAAATCTCGCTTCAATATTAGCAATGTCGCTCCACGCGCCTAATGGGGACGAGGCGGGTTCAAGGAAATGCGATGCCGAACGATCCGCCGTCGACGCCTCCCGTGAGTACAATAACGCGCCCTATTAGCGGTCGCGTATCCCCCCCCCCCCCCCCCCCCTGAAAGTGTCCCGCGCATCAGCCTCCACGATTTCGCGCCTGCAACCCCACTGGCGCCAACACCGCGCTCCCCCGGGATCACTCTCTTATTCCCCACCGTCCCCCTACGCGCTTCTTCACAGCCTCAACTCCCCGGTCCCCTCGCAATCACTCCCCTTCCCCCGTCGCTGTCTCTCCCCTACCCCCTCGCGAGCGTCCCCGTTTTCCCCCATGCGCGCCAGCCCCCGCCCCCTCGCGATCACTCCCTTTCACCGTCTCCATCCCTCCCTTTCCCCACGCTAACACTCCCCTACCGTGTCACGTTCACTTCCCCACTCCTCCCAACCACTCCCCTTCCACGTCGCGCTCATCCCCTTTTCAAGGGCTATCAATGCCCCGCCCCATCGATAACTCCCCCTTCCCCCACTGCAAGCACTCCCCTCCCCTGTCCCTATCACTCCCCTGCCCCCCACGCGACCATTCCCCATCCCCCGTCATGATCACCCCCTTTCGCTGACACCTTCTCGCCCCTTCCCCCTCGCTCGCATGCACGTTCCCCCCACCTGCGCGCCCTCCCCTTCCCACGTCACCAGCACGCCCCTTCGTCGTCGCACTCTCTTCTTTTCCTCCTCCACGTGAGTGCCGCCCTCCCCTTCCCCTCCGCAAGCACTACCCCGCTCCTTCGCTATCTCTTCCTTCCCCCCTCGATAGCTCCCCCCGCCCCCGCCGCTAGCCCTCTCCTCCCCCACTGCTATCACTCCCCTTCCACGTCGCCCTCTCTCCCCTCCCCCCTCCACACTCTTCCCCCCCCCCCCCCCCCCCAACCTCACGCCTTCCCCTTCCCCTTCGCAGGCACGATGCTTGCTCCTGAGCTATCTCTCCCTTGCATCACTGCTAGCCATCTCCTTCCCCACTACTATCACTCCCCGTCCCAAACACTACCCTTCCCCCTCGCGGCCATTCCCCTTCCCCCATCAATATCACTGCACTTCACCGTCGCATTCTCACCCGCTCCCCCTCCACACTCGTGCCACCCCTCCCCACCCCAATCTCCCGCCCTCCCCTTCCCCTTCGCCATCTCCTCCTTTCCCCCTCGCTAGCTCTCCCTAAGGCCCACCGCTAGCCATCTCCCTCCCCATTGCTATCTCTCCGTCCCCGTCCATCTCACTCCCCTTCCCCCACGCGGCCATTCCCCCTCCCCCGTCACAATCACCCCCGCACGATGTCGCGTTCTCTCCCCTTCCCCCTCGCTTGCAGGCACGTCCCCCCCACCTGCGCCACCGCCCCTTCCCTCGTTGATATCACTGCCCTTCACATCCGCATTCTCACCCCTGCCCCCTCCACAATCGTGGAGCCCCGAACCCCCCCCCCCCCCCCCCCCCCCACCCCCGCCATCCACTGCTCGTCGCCTTCGCCTTCCCTCCCGCCTCCCTTCCCAATAGCTTCCCCCCATCCGGTCTTCTGCTTCCCCCTCTCCCCTTCCCTGCTTCCCCATGTCCCCCCATCCTCTTCATTCTTTCCCCTTATCCCAATCCCTGCTTCCTCCCACCCGGTTCTCTCCATCCCCCCCTCTCCTTCCCTACTTCCCCATGCACCCTTCCCACCTTCCCCATGTCCCCTGCCCCATGAACCCCCATCCCCTTCCCAGCTTCCCCCTAACCCCCTCCCAGCGTCCCCCCATCCTCTTCGTTCTTTCCCTCTATCCCAAGCTCTGCTTCTCCCCATCCGGTTTTCTGCATCCCCCCCTCCCCTTCCCTGCTTCCCCATGTCCCCTTCCCACCTTCCCCACGTCCCCTGCCCTGCTTCCCCCCATCCCCTGCCCTGCTTCCCCCCATCCCCTGCCCTGCTTCCCCCCATCCCCTTCCCTGCTTCCCCCCATCAGATTCCCGCCTCGCCCCCATCCCCCTCCCTGCTCCCCCTCATCCCCCTTCCTGCTTCCCCCCATCCCCTGCCCTGCTACCCCCCCTCCCCTTCCCTGCTTCCCCCCATCCCCTTTCCTGCTTCCCCCCATCCCCTGCCCTGCTTCCCCCCATGTCCCCTGCGCTACATCCCCTCATCCCCTGCCCTGCTTCCCCCCCTCCCCTTGCCTGCTTCCCCCCATCCCCTTCCCTGCTTCCCTCATCAGATTCCCGCCTCGCCCCCATCCCCCTCCCTGCTCCCCTTCATCCCCCTCCCTGCTTCCCTCCCTCCCCTTCCCTGCTTCCCCCCAACCCCCTCCCTACTTCCCCTCATCCTCTTCGTTCTTTCCCCTTATCCTAAGCCCTGCTCCCCCCCATCCCCTTCCCTGCTTCCCCCCCTCCCCTTCCCTGCTTCCCCCCCTCCCCTTCCCTTCTTCCCGCCCTCCCCTTCCATGCTTCCCCCCATCCCCTGCCCTGCTTCCCCCTAACCCCCTCCCTGCGTCCCCCCATCCTCTTTGTTCTTTCCCCTAAGCTCTGCTTCCCCCCATCCAGTTTTCTTCATCCCCCCCTCCCTTTCCTTGCTTCCCCATGTCCCCTTCCCACCTTCCCCACGTCCCCTGCCCTGCTTCCCCCCATCCCCTGCCCTGCTTCCCCCCCTCCCCTTCCCTGCTTCCCCCCATCCCCTTCCCTGCTTCCCCCCATCAGATTCCCGCCTCGCCCCCATCCCCCTCCCTACTCTCCCTCATCCCCCTGCCCTGCTTCCCCCCCTCCCCTTACTTGCTTCCCCCCATCCCCTTCCCGGCTTCCCCCCCTCCCCTTCCCTGCTTCCCCCCATCCCCTTCCCACCTTCCCCTTGTCCCCTGCCCTGCTTCCCCCCCTCCCCTGCCCGGCTTCCCCTCCTCCCCTTCCCTGCTTCCCCCCATCCCCTTTCCTGCTTCCCCCCATCTCCTGCCCTGCTTCCCCCCCTCCCCTTACCTGCTTCCCCCCATCCCCTTCCCTGCTTCCCCCCATCAGATTCCCGCCTCGCCCCCATCCCCCTCCCTGCTCCCCCTCATCTCTATGCCCTGCTTCCCCCCCTCCCCTTCCCTGCTTCCCCCCATCCCCTTCCCAGCTTCCCCCCCTCCCCTTCCCTGCTTCCCCCCATTCCCTTCCCACGTTCCCCTTGTCCCCTGCCTTGCTTCCCCCCCTCCCCTGCCCTGCTTCCCCTCCTCCCCTTCCCTGCATCCCCCCATCCCCTTTCCTGCTTCCCCCCATCCCCTGCCCTGCTTCCCCCCCTTACCTTGCCTGCTTCCCCCCATCCCCTTCCCTGCTTCCCCCCATCAGATTCCCGCCTCGCCCCCATCCCCCTCCCTGCTCCCCGTCATCCCCCTCCCTGCTTCCCCCCATCCCCTTCCCTGCTTCCCCCCAAGCCCCTCCCTGCGTCCCCCCATCCTCTTCATTCTTTCTCCTTATCCCAAGCCCTGCTTCCCCCCATCGGGTTTTCTGCTTCCCCCCATCCGGTTTCCAGTGCTTCCCCCCATCCCCTTCCCGGCCTCCCCCCCTCCCCTTCCCTGCTTCCCCCCATCCCCTTCCCACCTTCCCTTTGTCCCCTGCCCTGCTTCCCCCCCTCCCCTGTCTTGCTTCCCCTCCTCCCCTTCCCTGCTTCCCCCCATCCCCTTCCCTGCTTTCCCCCCTCCCCTTCCTTGCCTCCCCATGTCCCCTCCCCACCTTCCCTATGTCCCCTGCCCTGCTGTCCTGCTTCCCCCCCTCCCCTTCCCTGCTTCTCCCCATCCGCACCCCTGCTTCTCCCCATCCCCTGCACTGCTTCCCCCCATCAGATTCCCGCCTCGCCCCCATCCCCCTCCCTGCGACCCCTCATCCCCCTTCCTGCCAGTGTCCCCCCACGCACGCCCTCCCCTCCCTCACCGCATGCACTCCCCTGCGCCGTATCTAGCTCTCCCTTTTCCCCAAATCTGCCTCCCCCTATCCCCACCGCTAGCTCTCCCCTCCCCCGTCGCGATCTCGCCCTCCCCGTCCCTCTCACTTACCTTCCCTCACGCGACCATTCTCCTACCCTCGCCAGGGTCACGCCCTCTCGCTGTCGCGTTCGGATGCCATTCCCCCTCGCTACTCCCTAAACCTTCCCCCCATGCACGCCCTCCCCTTAACCCTGCTGTATCAACCGTGCCGCCCCATATAAGCACTCACCTTTCCCATCAACTCAATCCCACAGCAACATGACAGCAATGCTCTTTCCCCGCACCCTCTCCACCACTCCAATCCGCAGGTGTGCATTGCCCCTCAGCTCCACACCCTGGCAGCATTGCACGTCCCAAAATACGGCGCACACTCCGACGACGTCTCACTCCCAGGTGGGTTACACCCTCACACACCGCTTCCCGTTGTGTGTTGCATGTAGCTAACCTCGTGTTATTGTTGTGTCCCATCATGTAGTGAGCAAAACTTGTTGAAGCGTCGGCGTGGTCTTCTGGGCAGAGTGAATGAGCTGGTTGAAGTGGATGAGGCAGGTGTGGTGGTTGACGAGGGAGGTGCTAGCAGCCCCCCCATGAGCAAGTGTCGTGTGAACATGAGCCAGCCCTCACCCCCAAGCATCCGGCTTCCACAATGCGTTCGTCGCATGCCCCAACCAACTCGACAGCCCCATGTCAGGGTTCTCCCATTATACAGTTGGTCTTTGCCCCATTTTGCCCGTGCCTTCCCTAAGCAGTATGAAGTGCTTGAACAGTGGGGTGCTAGCTCGTTGGGTCTGCCATTTGACAGCCATGTGCAGCTGAGTACAGCAGGGCGGACGGTTGAAGCTGTGGTCCGTGTGTGTTGTGGTGCAAGTACGAGTGAATCATGTGATGGGTCCGCGATGGAGCCAAAGCACCACAGGTTCAGGTGTTACCTTGACTACTCAGACCTATTGAGCGATCGTCAATACGGCAAGGTCAAGCTACCTTTTACAGTATATGTTGCTATTGGGTCTTTGTATCACGAGAAGGGGGATGAGGGGTACCTAGAGTGTTGCGCGCACGATATCGAGTACTTCCTCCATGTTCGGAAAATCCCGGATGAGATTGATTTTGAGGCATCCTCTTGGGATGCCATGTTATCGTAGCCACATTGCGATGTTTTGAACTAAGGGCTTCGTGCATTTGTAAAGCGCGACGGGTAGAAGAGGCATAGTTTAGTGCGACCTTCTAGAATCACTTATAGGGTTGATCATTAAAGTCCCCTATTTCGCATACCATGCTAACCATCCGATCTTACTGCAACTAATTGTAGGCAAATATGAAAGCACATGATTGGATTGTTGCCATAGGGGTGCAGCAAAATGTATAACTTGTCAGAATCCCAGCCACTAACAACTGGGATAAAAGGGCTTGTTAAGTAGCGGGTCAATGCGCCCATAAACCGCCAGGCCGCCATGCCTGTAACCCTTCCCTAGGATGAATCGGGGATCACCAATGGACTTCTGACACCCCCCGCACTGGGATGCCCGAAGTGCACACACCAGGATTCGAACCCGAGACCTTCGCTCTGATAACATGTCAAAATCCCAGCCACTAACCACTGGGATAAAAGGACTTGTTAAGTAGCGGGTCAGTGCGCCCATAACCCCCCAGGCCGCCATGCCTGTAACCCTTCCCTAGGATTGATCGGGGATCACCAGTGGACCTCTGACATAACTACACTGCACTAGGAGCATGACCATGTCACTAGGCATAGTACAGAAGCACCCACTCTTGCCCTGCAGAAAAGGTAATCAACTAGATATGCCGCTGACCTAGATGTCATTGTCAGATTTATATGACATAGCTACTGTAGGCTATAGTGGGGTAGCACATATGGGGTACAGCTTTCTAGGGGTTCATATTTGTACCCAACTTTCACTTAGTCATTCATTCCTTGTTCTAGTTTCCTCATGGTATCGAGCAGGTTCCCTCGTGGGAACTGTTCCTAGGGCCCACCAATTCGAATTTTTTTTCCTGCCCGGAGCACGCTCAGCCCCTGCCCGAGTCGCGCTCCCCTCTATGATCCCGTCGCGCCGCCCTAGCGGTTGCGTCGTGCCGCCCTCGCGGCCTCGATCCGCCGCCCTAGCGGCCCCGTCACCTAGACCTGCGGCCCTGGCGCCGCCCTTCCCGGCCCCGATCCGCCGCCCTGCGGCCCCGTCGCCTACCCCGCGGCCCTCGCGCCGCCCTTCCCAGCCCCGATCCGCC